TATTATTATTATAGCAAAATTTGCCACCCTAACTCCTCCACAGTTTTTACACTACATAGACAAAAATTTACCAAAACGTGCAGATTGTTCCCGATCGGATTGCTATTACTTTGTGGAACGTTTCGCCGAATGGTTCACGGAATATCGTCGTTCTTGTGGCGAAATTTGTCCCATAGGAATGAATAGCAAAGCTAGAGTGGGAGCTGGCAAAAGCTGAAAAATCAGGACATGATTCCTAAACTGCCACCACTCCCTTATTTTCAGGCCCACCTACACAAATCTTATATCAAAACGTTCAGCTATCCCTGCTGCCACTAAACATGTAAACGGCTAAGCCATAGTCCTGATAGTTTTCACAATATAATCATTTGTTTGCAACTAATGCCGTCCATTGACTTTCATTGAAACTTCGCTCTGCAAAGCTCAAATTTGAAGTGCAATTTCTAAACTGCGACTGTGCCTTCAATTTTAATACTTCAGAGACATACTATGCATCAAAATGTAGGTCTGGGTCTTGTGATTCTCACAATATAAAGCTCTTCACCGTAGGAGTTATAGTTTTTAAGATACGACCGTTTGAAGATGGCAACCGCCAAAATACTCTGACCTGTGTCAAGCTGCAGCAGCAAGTGATGTCATAGACAGGGCCTTTTGAACACCTGCTAATGTTTTTATAAGTGTATGGTTTAATGTAACTGTGCAACAACGTTGCAATTAAATGTGCTAAATAAAGTATAACAGTTACTCCGCCCACTCCAGTTGTAGACTACTGATGGAGGCAAGAACACTTCACACAATTTCCCCAGAAATTGTAGCTTTTCTAGTTATTATTATTCTTATTATAGCAAAATTTGCCACCCTAACTCCTCCCACAGTTTTTACACTACATAGACCAAAATTTACCAAAACGTGCAGATTGTTCCCAATCGGATTGCTATTACTTTGTGGAACGTTTCGCCGAATGGTTCACGGAATATCGTCGTTCTTGTGGCGAAATTTGTCCCATAGGAATGAATGGCAAAGCTAGAGTGGGAGCTGGCCAAAGCTGAAAAATCAGGACATGATTTCTAAACTGCCACCACTCCCTCATTTTCAAGCCCACCTACACAAATCTTATATCAAAACGTTCAGCTATCCATCCTGCCACTAAACATGTCAACGGCTAAGCCGTAGTCCTGATAGTTTTCACAATATGACCATTTGTTTGCAACCAACGCCGTCCATTGACATTCACTGAAACTTCACTCTGCAAAGCTCAAATTTGAAGTGCAATTTCTAAACTGCGACTGTGCCTTCAATTTTAATACTTCAGAGACATACTATGCATCAAAATGTAGGTCTGGGTCTTGTGATTCTCACAATATAAAGCTCTTCACTGTAGGAGTTATAGTTTTTAAGATACAACCGTTTGAAGATGGCACCCACCAAAATACTCTGACCTGTGTCAAGCTGCAGCAGCAAGTGATGTCATAGACAGGGCCTTTTGAACACCTGCTAATGTTTTTATAAATGTATGGTTTAATGTAACTGTGCAACAACGTTGCAATTAAATGTGCTATATAAATGATAACAGTTACTCCGCCCACTCCAGTTGTAGACTACCGGTGGAGGCAAGAACACTTCACACAATTTCCCCAGAAATTGTAACTTTTCTAGTTATTATTATTCTTATTATTATAGCAAAATTTGCCACCCTAACTCCTCCCACAGTTTTTACACTACATAGACAAAAATTTACCAAAACGTGCAGATTGTTCCCGATCGGATTGTTATTACTTTGTGGAACGTTTCGCCGAATGGTTCACGGAATATCGTCGTTCTTGTGGCGAAATTTGTCCCATAGGAATGAATGGCAAAGCTAGAGTGGGAGCTGGCAAAAGCTGAAAAATCAGGACATGATTTCTAAACTGCCAACACTCCCTTATTTTCAGGCCCACCTACACAAATCTTATATCAAAACGTTCAGCTATCCCTGCTGCCACTAAACATGTCAACGGCTAAGCCATAGTCCTGATAGTACCTCAACCTAACAGGCATTTGTCATGCGTCAGCTGAAGCCTGTGCGCAACTTTTCTCACGCGGTGTCAGTGTGGTCTATGCCGCTGAATGCAGGCCGCCATAGGGCCTATAGCCTTTTTTTGGTTACCAGGTCTTTGAGATGGCTGGACAGGTAGGTATGGTGGCTGATCCGGTGTACCAAGCAGGAGGCTCCTGAGCTGCAGCTTTTGACAAAATGCGTCAAAGAGGCTGTCCATGTATAACCTGGAGCATGCGGTCCTTGCCATATTTGGAGCGCCAGACATGGAAGCAGCTGGAGTCTCGAGGTGGGGACCAGGATCACCCCCGCCGGTCCAGAGGGGGGAGTAGCGGGGCTTTGATTCCAGGAGTCAGCAGGCGTCGGGCCGCCTCTCTCTTCCACAACACCCGTCAGGCCCCGTCCCTTTGGTTGCTATTTTTTTGGATTGCACTTTTTCTTTTCCCATTTTGAGATAAAGCTCAAGACCTGGAACAGATCCACATCTATTACACTGAAGATTCATTATCCTTTGTTATATTGTAAGTGGCCATTTTGTGTATACAATTATCTATCACTTTGCTGTACAATTTTGCACTATGTTGTGCCATTTCTTCCCCTGCAGGATAACCCATACCTTTGTACATGCATTTAATTATGCATTTTTTTCATTGGAGTTATATCTAAAAACAGCTGGCAAAAACTGCAGATCTCTTGTCTGCTGCCTTTACAAGCCCAAACCCCTCCTAAGAAATGCCCAGACTTTCTATGACTTCAATCACAGACTTCCCAATGCCGCTCAATTAGAGGTTTTTGCAAAGTAGATGCTCTGGGAAATTGCTGCCTCCTGAGTTCAGTGCAAATAAGCTAGCCAAACCAGGAAGTAACTGGTCATTTTGTCTGCTTGAAAAAACGGGGGGGGAGGTTGTAACCAGGTTAGTGCTTATAAAAATGTACATTTGTGTTGAAATTGCACTTTTGGAAAATGAAAAATATAGACACCCCTCTTTTCAGCAACTTAAAAGTGATTTAGGGGTTTGGAGTGTCCTTTTAAAACCAATTTTTAACATGTCTACTAAATAGCCTCACTAGCTGATCTAGAAGCTATCTGATAATATCAACCAGCACACCACATTGGATTTATAGTAAGGCAGTTGGGAACCCTGCTGCTACTGCCTTATATAGCATTTAACTGCAGGTAGTAAAATATCACAAGCCAAGTAATGAAATTAATGGAGATATCAGAATAGTGGCTATACAAGCTGTGGTCAAGCAATGAGAGCTCAGGATAATCAAGAAAACAAGCCAATGTGAAGAAAGAGAGGTCAGGATAAATGAGAAACAAACCAAGGTCAATAAATAAAAACAGAAAAAATACTAACTATTTTGGTCCTACATAAACCCACAACAGGTTGGATCGAAGTTTAAATAGCAGATACAAACTATAGGAAAAGTAGAAATGGTGGTGTATATATACCAGAGGCAAATGGGAGTGCAATTATGAGGCTGGCTCTGTTCCGCATAAAAGGAATTGTCGAAATAGAACCTGTAGATTTCAAGAATGACATTGATCAGTGCCTTTTGAATTATAGAGGGTCTTTCTTATGGTGCTGCATTTGCCAACAATTCTAGGTTTCTATTCTGCATTGTTCATATATATCAAATAGGTGAATCTTGAATTGCCTAATCAACAGCAGTCTTGTAACAATTTCATGGTTAGCTCTACGGACGAAGCCATCTCCCTCTTAAAAGCCACACTAAAAGCATGTTATGAAAACTTAGTTATATATTGCAACAGTGCAATAAAATAAAGATGCCGTGCAAGCAGAGAGAGGTGGGAGGTATACATCTTCCCCTTACAGGTACCTGTACCTGCAGTATGCAATGTTGAGAGACGTAGTTTATGTGTATTATTGACATTGCCTCTTGGAACGTTTTGGGCTGCCAATGTCATGTGTGCTGAGGTTGTAACTAGGCCCCAGCACACAATTCTAAATAGCTCACTCACTATACAGGTGATACTTGAAAAATTAGAATATCGCAAAGGTTCATTTATTTCAGTAATGCAACGAAAAGGGAAACTAATATAGGGTAGACGCCAAGTACATGCAAAGCAAGATAGTTCAAGCCCGTGATTTGTCATAAGTGCCATGATTATGTCTTACAGCTCATGAAAACCCCAAATCCACAATTTCAGTAAATTAGAATATTGTGAAAAGGTGCAATATTGTAGGCTCACAGTGTCCCCTATTTCCCCCGCCCCCATTTACCCCCCTTCCTTTTCCCATGGTCACCATATATTTGCTCCCCTTTCTTTCCCATGGTCCACATTTGCCCCCATTTGCTCCCCTTTCTTTCCCATGGTATGGTCCACATTTGTCCCCCCATTTACCCCTTCCTTTTCCCATGCACCCTATTTGTCCCCCATTTACCCCTTTCCTTTTCCATGGTCCCCATGTGTCCCTCATTTGCTCCCTTTTCTTTTTCCCATGCACCCTATTTGTCTCCTCTTTCCCCTATCCCCCATTTAGCCCCTTCCTATTCCCATACCCCCTGTGTGTCCTCTCCTGTGTCTCCATACCCACCTGTGTCCCCCCACTCTATTCCCATACCCCCCTGTGTCTCCATACCCCCCCCTGTGTCCCCCCCTTTCTATTCCCATACCCCCCGTGTCTCCCATACCCCTTTCTGTGTCCCCTTCCCTGTGTCTCCATACCCACCCCCCCTTTCTATTCCCATACCCCCTGTGTCTCCATACCCCCCTGTGTCCCCCTTTCTATTCTCTTATTCCCCCCCTGTGTCCCCCCTCTCCCTGCTACACTCTCCCCCGGTCTCTGGGTCTCTCTTTGCTGTCACCCAGTACAAGCCAGAGCCCCGCACGCTCCCCGTGACGTCATTACGCACAGCACGCAGGTCGCATAGCAACCACGCCGCGTGTGGCTGTGAGCAGGAAGTGTGCGGCCGGGGCGGACAGTGAGGATGTGGGTGTGCGGCTGCCGGTGTCTGCTGGTGTGCTCGGTGCTCGCCCTCAGCCTTCCGCCCAGCGCCCGCCCCTCCCCGGGCGGCTCCCCCGTAGCCCCCGCCTCTCCCAGCGCCGCCGGCCCGGGCCCTCCGGGATCCGTCAGAGGGAACCACACCGGCCCTTCCTCCACCGTGTCCGCGGGCCCCGCCCCCGCCAGGCCCAGCACTCAGAGAGCCCTGGCCGTGCTGGTGGTGGTGAGCGCCGCCGTCATCGTGTACTTCGTCTTCAGGACCATCCGGTGAGCGGGGCTGGGGGCTGGGGGGGAGCTGGGGGGAGCTAGAGAGGGGCTGGGGGGGGGCTAGAGGGCTGAGAGGGGTTAGAGGAGCCTGGCACATGTATAGGAGATACAGGGAGCCAGCACGGATAGGGTGATAGGGGGAGCCGGCGGAATAGGGTGCAGGGGAGCCGGGATGGGGTGATACAGGGGGCCGGACCAGGGTACAGGGAGCCCGGATAGGGTGATAGAGGGAGCCCGGCCCGGATAGGGTGATAGAGGGAGCCCGGATAGGGTGATAGAGGGAGCCCGGCCCGGATAGGGTGATAGAGGGAGCCCGGCCCGGATAGGGTGATACAGGGAGCCCGGATAGGGTGATACAGGGAGCCCGGATAGGGTGATACAGGGAGCCCGGATAGGGTGATAGAGGGAGCCCGGCCCGGATAGGGTGATAGAGGGAGCCCGGATAGGGTGATAGAGGGAGCCCGGCCCGGATAGGGTGATAGAGGGAGCCCGGCCCGGATAGGGTGATACAGGGAGCCCGGATAGGGTGATACAGGGAGCCCGGATAGGGTGATACAGGGAGCCCGGATAGGGTGATAGAGGGAGCTCCGCCCGGGATAGGGTGATAGGAGGGAGCCCGGATAGGGTGTGATAGGAGGAGCCCGCCCGGATAGGGTGTGATAGAGGGAGCCCGATAGGGTATAGAGGGAGCCCGGATAGGTGATAGAGGGAGCCCGATAGGGGTGATAGAGGGAGCCCGGAGGTGATAGAGGGAGCCCGATAGGGTGATACAGGGAGCCCGGATAGGGTGATAGGGGGAGCCCGGATAGGGTGATAGAGGGAGCCCGGCCCGGATAGGGTGATAGAGGGAGCCCGGATAGGGTGATAGAGGGAGCCCGGATAGGGTGATAGAGGGAGCCCGGATAGGGTGATAGAGGGAGCCCGGCACGCTAAGTTCAGTGTTATACTCCCAGGGTGCCCGGCATGCCAAGTTCAGTGTTATACTCCCCGGGAGCCTGGCATGCCAAGCTCTGTAATACTCCCAGGGTGCCCGGCCTGCCAAGTTCAGTGTTATACTCCCAGGGTGCCCGGCATGCCAAGTTCAGTGTTATACTCCACGGGAGCCTGGCATGCCAAGCTCTGTGTTATACTCCCAGGGTGCCCGGCCTGCCAAGTTCAGTGTTATACTCCCAGGGAGCCGGCCTGCCAAGTTCAGTGTTATACTCTCAGGGAGCCTGGCATGCCAAGCTCGGTGTTATACTCCCATGGTGCCCGGCATGCCAAGCTCGGTGATACTCCCAGGGTGCCATCTTCTCCTGGTGAGTCCTCATAAAGCCGGGAGCTGACATTACTGTTGTACTCTCGCTCATGCATGAGAGTACAGCATTGAGGTCTGTGGAGGATCCCGCAATATCACGGGATCCTCCATAGACAGTCAATTTTATGTATCGTTACTGGTGATAGCTGGGGGATTGACACTTCTAGACAGCGGTAGCTGCGCCCAGTGTCTAAAATAAAGTCATGCGTAGGAAAAATACTCAAGACAAAGTATTCCCTACTTTATCTTATGTTTTTTGTTAGAAATAAATGAAAAAAAGAGACCGATTTCACAAAAGCATAACTGTTAATGGCTCTCAATTGATTCATCAACTGTCATTTAAAAAAAAAAAAAAGTCATCAGTGAATACTATTCTACTAACCTGCTTTCCCCCACTTCCTCTAGCATGTAAGCCCATTTAGCAGGGCCCTCAACTCCTCTGTTCCTGTGCGTCAAACTTGTAATTATCAGCATTTTTATAACTCCAACCTATTGCGCAGTGCTTTACAATATCGTAATGGGGGACATTTTTGATAATAAATGAGATAATTGCAAAATGTTACTGTAATTTAAGGTATTCTGTGAGGATAGCTTTCACAGACTACAGGAATATACCAGACCATCACTGGTCAGACACCATTAAGGAACATTGCACAAGCAGGGTTATAAACTAAACTGGGAAATGGTGTCAATTCAGTAGGTGTAGTTACGCAAGTTTTAGATCTAAATAGTAGAGTTACAAAAATGTGCTTTGAATTCCGAATACCCTGAGCTGAATTGGAGAGTGTTTTTATTTTAACTCTTTTAGTCAAAAATTTGAAATAGCTTTGCTAGTTATATTCAATTTCCAGTTTGGCGAATAACCCGGCATCTGTTTTTATAGGTTTGATTCTCTTACAGTCTGTTCATAGACGTGTTAGTTGTTACCTGGTAGTATATATTTGCACTTAAAGGACACCATAGCTCGCTGTACTGGTTACAAAAGTTCCAGTTTATGAGCTTTTATTCATTTCCTGAGCTAATCTCTGCACTGCAGTGCTGATCGCTGTCAGTCAAGGAGTTAAACCCTGCACTGCCATGCCTAGCTCAATGTAAAGAGTAGGTGCGGAGTGGCCCTTAGCTGACCCTAACTAACAAGTCAAACCGCTAGTATCAAAGTAGAACTGTCACCTGCTGTTTTAAATATAGGTAAGTTCTTCATTTAAAATATATATTTTTTTTTTATTCTGTCATCATTCTTCTGAAAGCTGCTCTTTCCTTTTTGAGATCTTTGTACAAACTGAAGAGAGATAATTACCCAAAGCTCTTTTTTCCTGACATATGGTAGCAGTACAATAGGGATGTACTCTTCCCTCGGAACAAGCATCTGAAATAAATAATTAACATAAAAAGTACCTCCCTTTTTCCAGGTAAAAGAGACCCAACCAGCCCAGGGACCTCAGTTCTCTTTCTTGTTCCAACAGAAACGGATGGCATGTGGATGGTGAGGCACATGGGTTGCTGACAGGGGAATCCGGTCTGATAGCCTCCCGGGTGGAGAGCTGAATGGCCAGAAAACATCCTGCAGATTACGGAGCAGGTATGTAAACCTGCTTTTATGCCGAGTGCAGTCACCGGCAAAGCAGGGAGGCGGTCTCTAGTGGCAGCAAATCACTGCCCGTTGGAGACGCATGCGCACGGCGGTGGAACGCACGCCTGGGTGGTTTTGCGTTCCACCGGAGTTCCGACCACGCTATTGCGCATACGCGGTCTTAACTCCCCGAAATGGTGCCAGATTTAAAGCGGATCTGACTATTTATGCTGTGCAGATCTTCCTGTCAGCATGGATGCTCGGCAAGGTCTCCCATGTCACCAACCCCCCTCCCCCACACGGGTCAGAGGTTTTAGAGGTATGATTCTTTAGACTCTCATCTTTAAAACTTTCTCTATTTTTATTTTTTATTTTTTTTGTTTCTACAAAATGATTTATTGCTTATGTATTACAGATATGTCTAGTCCTGTCTCTACTGATAATTAGAGATGTCGCGAACCGTCCGCGAACTTCTCGCGAACGGTTCGCCGCGAGCTCTTCGCTGTGAACTCCGGTCAGCTGACACGTCCCGGCCAATCTCCAGCAGACCCTCCCTCCCAAACCCTCCTACTTCCTGGACAGCATCCATATTTCAACATGGATGCTGTCCAGGAAGTAGGAGGGTCTGGGAGGCAGGGTCTGCTGGAGATTGGCCGGGACGTGTCAGCTGACCGGAGCTCGCCGCGAACCGTTCGCAAGAAGTTCGCGGACGGTTCGCGACATCTCTACTGATAATATGAATAAAGACAAAGTGCCTACACCTGCTTCTAAAAAGCCAGTTCCGAAGCTAAACATCTCTGTTGTAGTGAATGCTCTACTCCTTTACCAGATGGTTTTAAAAGGAAAGTCTGTAATGTTTGCTCTTCCTTGACGCTAGAAAAATCCAAGCAACAAGAGATGAAATCCTTTTTTTGTCTTGGTTTCAGGATAATCTGGCCGAGACTTTTGAGTCTTTTAAATATCCTGCTCACATTTCTCCTGTAAAAGCTACTAAACAGAAGTCTAAAAGGAAGAGAACTCCATCTAGTTCAGAACTATCCTCGGGTGAATGTTCTTTTTCTTATTCCGAATCCTCTAGCGACTCTATTTCTGGGGTTGGATTTCCTCTTGATGAGTTGAGAAAATGTATTAAAGAGGTTAATGTTATCCTTTCTGATGAAACGGTAGATAAATCCAACGGTAAAGCACTGCCAGTCCAACAAAAAATGCGGGATGAACCCTGAGAAAAGGCCTTTTGTCTCCAGACATTTTAAAAGTATTGTTAAAATAGAGGAGGAAGATAAATGGGAAGAATTGCCGGTGGTTGATGTAAAAGTGGCTCAATTGTCTAAAAAAACGACCATACCTATTGAAGTTTCTGATCTGAAAGATCCTATGCATAAGAGGGCTGAAACTTCCAGCAGAAGGGCTTATCAGGCTGCAGGTTTTCAGGCTAAAGCAGCATTAGACAGGGCTTCAGTGGTGAGAGCTCAGAATCTTTGGCTTAACACTTTGGAAGGTGATAATCAAGACAAAGGTCTTTCCCTCCTGTTCCAGAATTTAAGGTTGTCTGAGTACCTTATGGATATTGTCACTGAGGTGATTAAAGCTTTCGGCTCGTGTCATGAGTTTGACATGTGGCCTGAAGGCCACTGTGGCTTAAAGCCTGGATAGCAGACACTGCATCAAAATCTGCATTATGTGAACTGCCTTTGGAGAAGAAAAAGTTGTTTGGTTCTCCTTTAGAAGAGTTAATCCGACAAATGTCGGAAACCAAGAAGGCCCTGCCTCAAGACAGGAAATATGCCTGGAAACCCAGGTATAGAAATTTCCAGTTCAAAAACCATAGGGGTTTTCAAGAAAAAACAAGTTTTTTTTCATCAACAAGGAAAAAATCAAGATTTGACACACAGAGACCTTAAGTCTGACAGAAACTTGTTTTGTTCAGTTGTGATTTTTCGTACTTGACCTTGGCTTTGTATCTGACTCCGTTTATCTCTTTATCCCTGTTTTGTCTTGTTTGCCGGCTTACTGATTACTGTGTACCAGACCTTGGCTAGTTCTTGTTTTCGCTGTCTCTTTGTACCCTTGACCTCGGATCGTTCCTGACTCTGTATTTCTCTGCTCTACGTCGAGTCCGGCCATTTTAAGGACTCGACGTAGAGCATCTGCTCTATATTGTCATTTGTTGGACTAAATCTTGCGAGTTGGGGTAAACTACCGTGACATTATATAGGGCCATGGACCCCGCAGATTTAGCTCAGCAAATGGCTTCTCATGAGGCTAGATTTGTAGAGCAGGATCACCGTATGGATCAGATAGCTCAGGCCCTCCAGACACTCTTATCTAGAACTACTCCGGTAACCGTACAGGCTCCTCCTGCACCCTTTGTCCCAGATGTATCTACCATGCCTAATGCTTCTGCACATTTAAACCCTCCTCCTAGGTATGGAGGGGATGCTAAGACATGCAGGGGATTCATTAATCAAGTGGAATTCCACTTTGAGATGTATCCACATTCCTTTCCCACTGATAGGTCTAAAGTTGGGTTCCTTATGCACCAACTTACTGATAAAGCACTTGAGTGGGCAAATCCTATTTGGGAGGCTAATGGACCTATGGTGCATGATTTCGATAGCTTCCTTACGGCTTTTCGTAGAACCTTTGATACAACTAAAAGGTCGAAGAATGCCGCTAGGGCATTAATGAGAATTAAACAGGGATCTAGGTCTGTTGCTGATTATGCTATTCAGTTTCGTACCCTTGCTTCACAGGTAGATTGGACCAACAATGGGCTAACTACTGCATTTATGGAAGGTCTATCTGACATTATATTGGATGAGGTAGCGGCTAGGGATCTTCCTATCCCATTAGAGGACCTTATCGACTATGTCATTGATATATAGACAATAGGATTCGTGACAGACTCTATACTAAGAATAGGAATAGACGTTTTGTTACATTTAAATACTCCTAGAGTTGCTAATCCTGAGAGTTTCAAGGTATCAGAGGAGGAACCCATGCAATTAGGGGTTGCCAAACTCTCTGATGCTGAAAAATTGTATAGGAGAAAGGAGGGACTTTGCCTGTACCGTGGTAGGAAGGGCCATATGCTAAAAGAATGTCCCGTGCTTCCAGAAAACTATCGCACCTAAGGCCATATAGGGGACTGGCCTTGGATGTGATACCGAAGTCCCCAAAATTGCCTCTTAACCGATTACTTCTCCCTGTTTCTCTGCATATGGAAAAGAATTGCATAGCTGGGAACATACTAGCCCTTGTTGATTCCGGGGCAGCTGAGAATTTCATAGATTCTGGTTTTGTTAGGAAACACAACATACCCATTAGAGAGTAGACACCCTTGGCTGTTGAGGCCATAGATGGTAGACCATTATGCTCCCCAGTTATTACACATGAAACTGAACCGTTGCATATGTACACAGGGATGTTACACTCAGAAACCATTCGGTTTCAGGTCATCACCTCTCCTTCCTCTCACATCGTGTTAGGGTACCCATGGTTACTTTCTCACAATCCCATTTTTGACTGGGAGTCAGGACAAATAGTATCTTGGAGCGAGACCTGCCTAGTGTCTTGTATCTTTAAAATCACCCCTTTAAATTCTATTAATGTTCCTACTACTCCTCCTTTGTCTACTGTTATACCTCCTCAGTACATGTCTCTTAAGTCTGTCTTCGATAAAAGGGAGGCTGAAAAATTACCGCCTCATAGACCCTACGATTGTGCTATCGATTTATTGCCTGACACTATTCCTCCATGACACGGTTATCTCCTCAAGAAAACCGTGTCATGGAGGAATATATTAAAGAATCTCTACAAAAGGGGTTTATAAGGAGATCCTCTTCTCCGGCAGGGGCTGGGTTCTTCTTTGTGTCGAAGAAGGAGGGCGATTTAAGACCTTGTATCGATTATAGGGGTCTAACTAAAATCACCATAAAAAAATGCTTACCTTTTAATCACGGAATTATTTGACAGGCTCAAACATGCTACTGTATTTACTAAACTGGACCTTAGAGGTGCATACAATCTAATACGTATAAAGAAGGACCATGAATGGAAAACTGCATTCAATACTAGGAGTGGTCATTACAAGTACACTGTGATGCCATTTGGTCTTTGTAACGCCCCAGCAGTGTTTCAAGAATTTATTAATGACGTCTTACGAGAGTTCATTCACACATTTGTAATAGTGTATTTGGACGACATATTAATATATTCAACAGATTTGCATACTCATCACATGCATGTTAAAACAGTTTTGAAAACCCTTCTTGTTAATGGTCTTTATTGTAAACTAGAAAAAATGTTTATTTAATCAATCCGAAGTCCAGTTTTTGGGGTATTTAATTTCTGCTAAGGGTTTTCGTATGGATCCCCAGAAGCTTTCTGCTGTCAAAGAATGGCCTCTACCTCAAGGTCTGAAAGCCATTCAGTGTTTTCTTGGTTTTTCTAACTATTATAGACGCTTTATTAAAGGTTTTTCTTCTGTTGTAGCGCCTATAACCCGTATGACTAAAAAGGATGGTAATACTCGTGTCTGGTCCCCTGAGGCGCTTGAGGCTTTTGAATTTAAGACTGCTTTCGCCTCTGCTCCTATTTTACAGCATCCTGTCCCTTCTTTGCCTTATATTCTTGAAGTTGATGCTTCTGATATTGGGGTGGGTGCTGTCTTATCTCAAAGAGAATCACCTGAAAAGCCATTACATCCTTGTGGCTTCTTTTCCAAGCAGATGTCCAAAACCGAAAAGAATTATGACCTAGGCAGTCGAGAACTCCTTGCTATTATTTTAGCACTTAAGGAGTGGAGACATCTTTTAGAAGGTACTAAGGATCCCATCCTCATTTTTACGGATCACAAAAACCTTTCCTACCTTAGTGAAGCCAAGAGATTGTCTTCTAGGCCGGTCAGGTGGTCACTGTTTTTATCTCATTTCAATTATATCATCACCTACAGACCAGGTGATCGTAACAGTAAAGCCGACGCTCTGTCCAGACAATTCGAAACTACCGACAAGCAAGAGTTTCATACCCCTGTCATTCCCCCGGACAGAATAATAGCTACTACGGTTCTATCTATTTCTTCTTCACTCTTGCAAGTTATACAGGCTAAACAAAACATGGCACCTAGAGAGAGACCTGCTGATAAACTGTTCGTTGATGTTCCCGAAAGACGGGACATTATGTCATTATATCATGACACCAAAACTGCTGGACATCCTGGTATTTCTAAAACCTTATCAGCAGTTTCTAGATATTTTTGGTGGGCTTCCTTATGCAAGGGCTTCATCGATTACGTACAGGCATGTACTACTTGTGCCAGTATGAAGTCTTCTCATAGAGTTCCTTGTGGGTTGTTGCACCCGTTACCTGAGAGGCCTTGGTCCAATCTATCCATGGATTTTATTGTTGAATTGCCTCCTTCGAATGGTCAAACAGTCATCCTGATGATAGTGGATCGATTTTCTAAGATGGCTCATTTTGTGTCTCTTGTCAAATTGCCCTCATCCAAGGAACTTGCTTCTATCTTCGCCAGGGAGGTGTTTCGGTTGCATGGTATTCCTGTATCGATTGTATCCGATAGGGGTAGCCAATTTATTTCCAGATTCTGAAAAAGCCTTTTGTTCGGAGATGGGCATTTCTCTCTCGTTTTCCTCCGCTTACCACCCCCAGTCTAATGGAGCTGCTGAACGTGCCAACCAATCCCTAGAGCAGTATCTTCGTTGTTTCGTATCCCACCATCAGAACAATTGGGCTGAGTTTACTCGTAATAACGCTGCTCATGAATCTTCCGGTAAAAGCCCTTTCTACGTTGTTTATGGCCGGCATCCTGTTGTTCTTCCAGCTGCATTCTCCTTACAGGGCATGCCAGTTCTGGATGAACATTTGGCTGGTTTACGTACGACTTGGGAGCAGGTTCAGCGTTCTTTGGTGGACTCCGCTGCTCGCCAAAAGGTTCAAGCTGATAAGCATCGCAGGGCGGCTCCATCCTATGTCGTGGGGGATACGGTTTGGCTTTCCACTCGCAATATCCGCCTTCGTGTGCCTTCTATGAAGTTGGCTCCTCGTTTTATCGGTCCTTTTCGTATCTTACATAAAGTTAATCCTGTTTCAAATGCCTTGGATCTTCCTAGGAACCTACGTATTCCGAACGTCTTTCACACCTCCTTGTTTAAACTCCTCCTGTGTAACCGTTATATCCGGCATGTTCCTCCTCCCCCTCCTGTTTCTGTGGAGGGTCATGAGGAATTCGAAGTAGCTGCTGTGCTTGACTCTCGTTTCTCAGGGGTCGCCTCCAGTACCTGGTGCATTGGAAGGGTTATGGGCCTGAGGAACGCAGTTGGATTTCCGCTGACGCTGTTCACGCTCCTCACCTTGTGCGTTCCTTCCATTCTCGTTTTCCTGCCAGGCCTGGTCCTCCCCGCAGGTGGACGTGTCTTCGGGGGGGGGGTTCTGTAGCGGTACTTACCTTATCCGGGGGCCAGCCGAGGTCCTCTATTCCCGCGGCTCGCTCGGGGCTCGGATGACGGCGGGCACTGACCGCGAGATGCGGTCACGTGTCCCGCCTAGCTCTAAGAGCGCGCCGCGCGTCTCTGGCACGCTATTAAAGGGAAAGTGGGAGCCAAAAACTAAAACGGTCTCCCATTGGCCCCTGTCATTCCACATTCCCCATACACTCACATTTTGGGGGCGTAGGTATGACAGGGGCCATTCAAATTAAATGCTAGGGTATTTATACTTACCTCTCCCTTAACTCCCTGCCCTATCATGGTTTCTGTTTCTGTTCCATTTAGCGCTTGTTTTGCTCAGTTGTGATTTTTCGTACTTGACCTTGGCTTTGTATCTGACTCTGTTTATCTCTTTATCTCTGTTTTGTCTTGTTTGCCGGCTTACTGATTACTGTGTATCAGACCTTGGCTAGTTCTTGTTTTCGTTGTCTCTTTGTACCCTTGACCTCGGATTGTTCCTGACTCTCTATTTCTCTATTCTACGTTGAGTCCGGCCATTCTAAGGTCCGGTAAGACGTATCTACTCTATATTGTCAATTGTTGGACAAAATCTTGCGAGTTGGGGTAAACTACCGTGACAGTATATCAAGGGGTATACTCCAGGTTGTTCCTAGTCCCAAAACCGGACATGTCTTTTCGTCCAATCTTGGATCTAAAAAACCTGAACAAACTCATTCCTTAACAACATTTCAGAATGGAAACCATAGCGTCTGTCACCCTTTTCCTTCGAAACTTTGGCAACTTTGGATCTAAAGGATGCCTACCTGCATATTCCTATGGATGTGAAATCAAGAAAATACCTGAGGTTTGCTATAAGGAAAGGGGAAAAGGTCCATCATTTCCAATTCAAAGCCCTTCTATTCGGGCTAGCTTCAGCACCCAGGATTTTTACAAAGGTCCTCACACCTGTCACAGCTTTTTTAAGGATGCAAGGAATCTGTCATTTTTTGGTAAAAAATTGGGCTTCTGATCCTCTCATTAGGAGATTTTTTAAAGCTGTTAGACTCGTAAAGCCTCCTAAGAAAATCTGTTTTCCCTCTTGGGATTTGTCTTTAGTTTTGAAATCTCTATGTACTGAGCCTTTCAAACCTTTGGAAGAAGCTTCATTGAAGAATCTGTCCCTGAAAACAGTGTTTTTGGTGGCCATTAACTCGGCTAAGAGGATAGGGGAACTCCAGGCCCTTTCTTCCTCTCCTGACTTTACAAAATTTCTTCCGGATAAAGTGGTTATGTACCCTAAGCCTTCCTTTCTTCTGAAAGTCATCTCCTCCACGGTTATAAACCAACCTATTTTTCTTTCTTCCTTCCTTTAATGGTCCATCTATGCCAGATTGGAAATTTGATTGGAGCCAACTAGATGTGGGTAGGTCTCTGAAAATCTACTTGGAACGCTCCTCTACGTATAGGATGACTGATCATCTATTCCAAGGCCACTTTAGCTAGATGGCTGGTGGATACTATTAAATTGGCTTATTCTTCCTCGAATCTACCTATGCTTTCCTCCTTGAAAGCACATTCTACTAGAGCCATGGCTGCCTCTTGGGCCAAAAAAGCGTGTGCCTCTCCGGAAGATATATGCAAGGCGGCTACCTTGTCTTCTTTCAACACTTTTGTCAAGCATTACAGGCTAGACGTATTCTCTGCCTCTGATGCTGATTTTGGGCACAAGGTGTTACAAGCTGTTATTGCCTAACTTCCTGCACTTAGTATGGGATCTCGATATATCCCTATTGTACTGCCACCATATGTCAGGAAAAACTGTAATTTTACTCACTGTAAATTCCTTTTTCGTTAATATGGTGGCAGTGCATCACTCCCTCCCTTTATGTATATATTTTATATTTGGGTGTTCTATGGATTCACTGTTATGTTCTTGGTACGTACTGAGGTCCCTGGGCTGGTTGGGTCTCTTATACCTGGTACGGGGAGGTACTTTTTATGTTAATTATTTCAGATGCTTGTCCCGAGGGAAGAGTACATCCCGATTGTACTGCCACCATATTAAGGAAAAAGGTTTCTTGGGTCTTGCCTTCTTTCTCCTGATGTGCATGTTCAGCTTCTAGTGTTCCTTCTGGAGGAGCTCTGTCACTATTGTATTCTTATCTCACAATGAATGATAAGCCTTTACCCTGCAGACATAGTTTCACGTTTTGTCATAGTGGGACTTTACCTTAAGGCAAAATGGTCTCTTCTTTGTTTTATGATATTTTTGATTGTATTGAAATAACTGTGAAATCACAGTGCAGGCACCAACATGCATATCATGTACCTTAAGGTGTTACACCTTTAATGATCAGTTTAACAGCAAACTTTGGGAGATTAATCCCCCAGTCTTTGCCTTCCCAGTTACTTCCTTTCTTACTGAGCATTCTCTGTGCTGAAGCAGCGTGTGCTTATAAAATTGCAGCTTTTCAGTGGAAGACATGCGCACTCTACCACACCACACCTTCAATTTCATGTCTGAGTTACATCCAGGAAGGTGTTTCTGACCCCAGCTATAAGTGCAGATTTCTATTGACATAAGCACTTTTACAAAATGTCGTGAAAAAATGGCAGGATTCCTTTTAATATTGAAGCATTATTGGATTTCCTAACTAATTCTCCACTCCATATTAAAGCTATAGTGGTCATGGTACCATAGGCACCCTAGCACTGTCCCACGGTAAGATATCAAACTGCTTTAGTATGTTTTTTACAACTTGCATGCAGGTTTATACCTTGCATCTGGTCTTCTTAATTAAGGATAATTAATATTGCTCCATAGAACAAGGTAGTCAAGCAGAACCGCACTCATTGGCTCAGAGTGTCTGGAGAAGATTGGATGCAGATGATGCGGGTGCTCATTGAGATCTAAAAAGACTTGACATCTTACCATAGGGTGGCACTAGGTTACTTTTGGCATCATAACAGCAGGCAGAGGTGATTATGGTACTGCAGTTTTCATTTAACTTTTTCTAGCACATGCCTTGACTGGGTAACAGGGCCGTGGAAGTTCCTGCAAAAACAAGAAAGCCTTAACTCATGTTAGGGTTTGTAGAAGAGTATAACCTCTTGGTTTACATTTTATATCATAATGTAACACTTAATCTTTTATTATTACTAATATTCTATACCTGTTATATCAGTAACTAATAGCTGTTTCTATTTTGTTTCAGCAACTAACATAATTTTAATTATATTTTATTGAAGGACAAGAAGGAAGAAT